TAGCAAACCCCTCAGCGCTCCACAAAGTCACTAGTGGGAAAAGAACAAAGGCCTTTCCAATGCAACTAACACAGATGTGCCCAAAGGCAAACTGTCAGAAGCAGTTAAGATGACAGCTACTCACAGTTCATTATTTCCTTCTCACAGGTCACTGGGTGACAAGCTGGGTCAGTGTGCTTTGTCGGCTGTCCCAGTCCTTCCCCACCCCCTATTCAATTTAAATAAGGGGAAAGGGCTCCATTGGATAAACTAAGGTAAACAAACACATTCCACACACTCAAAGATGCCAGAATATGGCATTTATTTTTACTTTGGACTAAACTTAGACTTAAATGTACACACAACTTACTTTACCCAAGAAGAGAGCCACGTTTCTGTATCTCACTAACAGAGAAAGCAAAATGTTTTCAAGCAAACAAAAAAATATAACCTATTATGTACTAAGAATCTTACATGAAAGGCATAACACAGTAGATTTTCCTTTCTCTTCAATGGAAAAAAGAATTTTTTCACATTCAAAAAAAAGATAAAAAATTAGTTGCTTTCTATAAGTGTTTGAAATGTAAATTAAATGAAATGATTCTGTAAATGACCTGGTTTGTAATGATTGTTGTAGTTTTTTTAAGGCTATAATTCAAAATAATATACCAATCAAAACGGCAATAGTTTAATTAAATCTTTTATGATATAATACACATAAAATTTTAGCAATGACAACACGGCTACTCATATGATGACATTCTATTCTGTTATGAAATTAATACAATAAAAGTTATTAGGAATGAGGAATGAAACAGTGTCTAAGAACACTGTCTATAGACCTGAGTGGATATGGGTTCAAATCCCATCTCTCCCATTAACTAGCTGTATGACTGGACATATCCTGAAACCTCTCTGAGCCATAGTGGCTACATCTTTATGGATAATAAGAGTGCCTCCACCATCAGGTTATTATGACAATAAGTAGATCAGTCTATCACATTGTTACAAGAATAAATAAGTACTTAGAATAGAATTTGGCATATGCTAAGTATTCAACAAATGACAGCTCTTACATGTCACCAAATTTAGTATATACAAAACTGAACTGAACCACCACTCAAGGTGTGAAATACCGTGGTTAATCATGACAAGTTATAGTTATATTAACAGGAAGAGGATTTTTAAAATCTCAAATCCATTCAAGTTCAAGCCTCTAAATCAGTAAATCTATGAAATCAGGGGTTTACAGTCTCCCTTAATATTTTCTACCTTTTATTTAGTCTTCACTGAAAGCTGTATACATTGATATATCTTTTATCATTGTATTAACTATTCCACCTTATTTAAAGATTCCTTTCTAAGATATCCAGTCAAAATAATAGGCCCCACTTGAAAGGCTAAAAACGTGGAATAATCATTAAGATAAGAACATGAACGGTCAGCCAGAACAGCACAGAGGCTAAAAGGAACACTTAAGGTGTGAATAGACCTGCCTTAAATTGCCATTAACAATGGCTGGAAGCCTCAGCCAAATAACTTATTCTCTCTATACCTAAATTTCCTTATCAGTAAAACAGAGATTAATACCTCTGTTTTACATACTGTAATGGAGCTGGACCCTATGGGGTCTTCCTGTGATAGACTCTTCCCCTCCATATCCTCTGTTTCAGTTCTCTGAGGTACCTAGATAACAGTATCTGGAACACATTTCCTGACTTATTTTGTAGATATTAAACCCCCACCAAGCGGAAAATATTAATTTCCCGATGACCATGAGGAGGTAGTTCCCAGACCTACAGGAGCCAGAGAATCAAAAATATGACACCACCCTGTTACTTCACTATCAACCAAATCAAAGAATTGTGTGCAAACTGATCACATATTTGCAATTCCCCTCCCTCACCTGGCCTTTAACAATGTTTTCCTGAAACCTATCAGAGGGTTTGAGCATTAGCTGTCTTGGACTCCTTGCTTGGTGCCCTGCATTAAACTGCACTTTATTTGCCACAACTTCCCTGCTGGCTCAGATGGTAAAGCGTCTGCCTACAATGTGGGAGACCCGGGTTCAGTCCCTGGGTCGGGAAGATCTCCTGCAGAAGGAAATGGCAACCCACTCCAGTATTCTCGCCTGGAAAATCCCATAGATGGAGGAGCCTGGTGGGCTACAGCCCATGGGGTCACAGAGAGTCGGACACGAGTGAGTGACTTCACTTTCTTTCTTTTCTTTCTTTTTGCTTTGCCACAACCCACTGTCAGCAGGTAGGCTTTACTGCATCCAGGCAAGTAAACCCAAGTTTGGTTTGGTAGCAATTCCTCATAGGTTACTGGAAAATATGGCACACAGAGCACTTAAGCAAAGTCAGTATATGTTATTAATATCAAATGCTATCTTCCCTTTTCATATATTACCTGCTAGTAACTACCTACCTCTCTGTCTTTCCCTAAATTTGGCTACTTCTGATTCTCTCCTTCCTTTGCTACTTCTAAGGAAGTTCACACATTTATATCATTTTATTCTTTTCAATTAAATATACTTCTTTCAGACTATTTTCTCATTAATGTTTTCCCTAGTATTCTATTTTTTCCCCAATTTCCACAACTCGTATCATTTCACATTATTTATTTTTTGCAGTGATGTTATTTCATAAAATCATCATTAAAAAGAACAAAAGAATGTGATGCCTTTTTTAAAGCTGTGATAATATAATGCACTGATTCTCTTATATTTGAAAAATATGCAAACCTAACAAGACAACCTAAGATTCAAAGCAGTCAATAGGCCAAGTTCAATACCATGTTCTAATTTTGCCCAACAACTCCTTCCAAAATGGGAAGAAAGTAATTGCTTTAAGTATTAACTCTTTATTCAAAATAACTTTGTTAAGGAACAGAAAGAGGAGAGAAACAGAAATTACACCTACTGTGGTAGATTGTGGGGGTGGAGAAAAGAATATACATAAATCCTTGTGGTTTAAAAAAAAAAAAAAGAAGGCTGGAAAAGTCACTGTATCCTGAGACACAAACCCTGAGGAACCCTTACTAAGAAAGTGGCCCTAGGAAATTTCTTATTAAATAAAATCCAAAATATATTTACCAGTCAATTTCTATTGACTAAAAAATCACACATCTAAGTACAAATTTCATTAAAAATTCTTTTCTATCCCTATTTGATTTCAGAACATTTTCACAACTCTACCTATTGAGTACTTACTACATTCCTGAAATTTAAAGTCATCTCATTTTATTCTAACAACTCAAACAAGTGCTGTGGTAAATTAACTGTGATTAACAGCTTTGCTATTTATTTGTCTCCCATTACCTAATACAGTACTGTAGTCTTTTCTCCTAAGTTTCACAATCAGACTACACTGCTTCAGGGAAGATACAACAGAAAACATTAGAAAAACCCCCAAACTACCCAAAGCCCTGTGCCCTCCAAAAAAAGAGAAAAATCCAGGTTGGGGAAGCTATAGGGAAGTAGGTGAATTAGCACTTTGGTTCCTGCACAGTGACCCATGAGGGCCAGCATGAGACAAACACAAAAAACCCATATAGGTTTTGGAAATCTGAGGGCAGGAGGAAACTGTGCCTCCTTGAATAGAACCCAGGATAATGATGAACCCCCAGCACTATCTCAAGAAGAGTAGAGTAAAAATGGCTGATGAGTGAACCTACAGAGACAGACCAACAACGACCTCACAGAACAGTATTTTAATTCCTCAGGTCTCCGGTGTTTTACATGAAAACTTCAAAGACTATTTCTAAGGGACTTATATCCTGGTGACCCAGATAGAAAGTGGCCTGGATATGTAGCTGAAGCCTTGTGATTGTGTCGGGGAGCATCAGAGAGTTGAGAACCTTATGTACAATGGGAAAGCAAACACTGGGGGAGGAGGTCCTGGAACACAGGTTTTCATATAGATTCAGGACACCCCCATACTATAAAACAGTAAGATACTAAGCTTGTTATTTTGTTTGCACCCTCTCTTACTTGAAACAACAAAATCAAAGGATTTGAGGGATAAATACTTTAGAGACAATAAATTGAAGGGGCAATTTTTATCAAGAAAAAAATATTTCCCTCCTATTGAACACTGAGGCAGGAATACATAATTTAAGAATATAAGATAGCTTTTAATTGAAATAAAGTTACATTGCACACTTTAAACTTCAACTGTGTTATTAATATGTGCCAACTATGTCTCAATAAAGATGAAAAAACTTTGTAGCAAAGAGATTAAAATCTTTTTTTCATGCAATTGACATTTCTATATACTATTAGAATATTTAAACTTAGGTATTATCTTGAACTTTACTGAGAATAAGAACTGTATTATTCCTTTAAGAGTACTTCAATCAATAGTTAATTTCAAACAAGTGTCTATTGAAATTGCAGTTTATAAAGTCATTTTGTGCTTGACAACACAAAGCCCTAGAAAAATAATAATAATAAATTTTAGTTTTCCAATTAAATGAAGCAGACCAAAGAAATAGTACCCATTTTCCAATCAAGGATGCTTTTCAATCAGTTAGCAAAATAATTGATGTTAGTTTGATTCTAGTGATAGAATTATATCAATTTGTTAAATTATCACTACTTAAGACCATCTGTCACGCACTTAGCCCTAGGTCTAACCCAATATTCTTCTTGTGGAACACAGAAAGGATTGTCTATGAGTGTGCCCTTCTTTAAGACCTTTTGATATTTTCACAATTGGATATATATGCTCTGCACTGCCTTATACTAATTATGTTATTTCAGAATATTTCAGTGAGATCCCAGGACAGTAACCCTTCTAAGTATACTTATATTAATAGACAATATCATACATCAGTCTTCAATGAAATACACATAAATGTCTCCTCTCCTCATCAAATGTGACCCGAAAACAACGTGCTTGAGAGCCAAAGGGCTTTTGAGATATTTCAATAATCTTCAAGAAATCAATCTTACATGAAACTGAAGGAAAACATCGAATGTCATTGAGCAATAAAGCTCCATTCTGTCAGTGCCCTACCTCTGAGCAGAAGCCTTAGGATGTTTCTCTTCCAGTTTCTTTACCAAGGCCACTGTCAGCTGTCCTGTCTCCCCAAGAGAACCTTCTGGCATTAAGTGGGTGTCTGAAGGCTCTGGCAGCTGCTTCAAATCAGGGATACTGGCACTTTTTTGAAGAACCTAATAAATGAAATATAGGAATTATGTAGCTAATTTTCACTGAGTGGAAATGTCTAAACTATATATGCCAAAAAATTTAACAGTGCACATTTCATGGTTCCTTCAGCCGTCTTCATCCAGCACATAAACCTTCGGTACGTGGCCAGAACAAAAGAAGGCAGTCCTAAGAAAAGCTAGTGTGTTACCATTTATTTAACAAAAAGAATGCTTATATAAATATACACATAGATGTTTACATGAATATAAGTATATAAATGGATGTTTATGTAATGGATATGATTTTCAATATCAATAACACTAATTCGTGAATTCATTCTTTCCTCCTGAAAACAACCCAAACATTTTTCCTCTTCGCAAAGTATCTTTCAGAGATCTAGCTCTGTCTTGCCTCTGGCTCACTACACTGACCTCTTCTGCAAAGCTGCTGCGATGCTCCTGATGAGCTGTGGTCCAGGCACCACGGTGAAAGTGATACTCTGTCTGGGTCACATCTACTTGTACATTTAGTTCCTCTAGGTAGGTCAGAACAAACTGAGGATAAGCCTGTAGAGAAGGGAAAAAAACAGAACAAAACAGTACTACCAGCCTTGTAAGCAACAGCCAAAAATCTATACAACTGGAATGATGGGAGGATAAATTAGATTAATAGGAAAAAAATCTGGCTAATAAGTTTTGTACTTTATGGTCAATTTCAGATCAAAATCAAGACAAATAACTTTCGTACAAAGATTTCTAATTTGTTGTTAGATCTGATCAAGTTTAACTCGGCTGCTAAACACTAAAGCCATCCTATATACTGATAATAATGGCTAACATTTACTGAGTTATTTCTACATAAAAGGTAAACATATTATGTACATGTAATTTTCCGTTGCTCTATTTGGGGGGACTATTCAATTCTGCTCTGAAAGACAATAAAACAAATAGGATGGATGAGATTCATTAGCCACAGGAAGCATAGATAAGTAAGTTAGTAACCTGAGAAGTGTCAGACAGAAAGGAATTAGAGCATGTCTATGAACATAGATAGAAAAGGGTAGAAAGACAAAATAGACATTTAGTAGTCATGATTTGCTAAATAACAAGCAAAACAACATATATTTACTGTGTACTAGATGTAAATTAAGCATGAGGCACACGATCGTGAGATCTTTAACTGACCACCCATTGCTGACTCTCATTTTGGACCCTCTGCTGGATAAAGTCCACAGCTGCCCCCAGGCCACCTGGGGAGCACAGCTACTGGCCAAGTGTACCTGCCACCACTGTCTCCTGGATCAAGTGTGTGTCAGTGTCTCACGTACATTTCATCTGTTAGGCCCAATTTCAACTCTGGTCCCGGTAACCACATCAACAGCAAGGAAGGGTGATGCCACACTGAGAGAGGATGCATCTATATCAGAGATTCAGGTAATGTGGCCCTTCAACCCACCTGTACTTTATGCATGTTAACCTAGCCCATCTCTTTTTCCATACATTGTACTTGGTGTTTTAAATGGATTAAATAGACTGTAATCTGCACATTTTCTGTTCCATGAACTCAAGGATAGCCTATCAAGGCACATACTTGAAGTCTACCAGTACACCAAAGTAATTTACCACATAATAACATATTTACATTTTAATCCTTGAAACAACCCTTTGAAAGGCGTGACTATAGCTTGCATTATAATGATGAGGAAGCCAAAATAGGGAGGGTAAAGCAACTTGTCCCTCCAGCTTGTTTACTACTTCATAAAGCTTGGATATGCTGCCTAAAGTATTATATAAACTTCTTTTTTAAACTGTAGAACTCAAGTTTTAACAAAAAATATGAGGAAGCATTCACTAGATAACTAAAGAGTACTAAAGGTCCTTGTATTATTCTAGAAAAAGAGATATTAAATAACTTTGCACTTTGTTACAAAATCTATAACTAAATATGAATGCTTTAAATTAGGTTGTGGTAATGAAACCAAAACCCTATGTATATACTGAAAAATAGTGAACAGCACACTTCAATTCTGTGGTATGTTAATTATATTTCAATAAAGCTATTTTTAATGTAAGAGATTCAATTAAAAATAGAAATACAGAGTATATCTCAAGAATAAGCAGATAAAAAAGAGGGAGGGGTTCAGAAAAAGTCAGGAAGAAAGGTAAAAACAATATGAATTAAAAATAGAGTAAATAGAAATTTGTATTAATCAATAAGTGACTATAAAAATTTTAAATATGCATTTGAGAGGAAGAGACTATTTCTCATTAGCATATTTTTTTCAAATATTAATTGTTATCATGTGCATTTGTGCTTTTATTACAAAAATACATTTTAAAAGGCCCAATTTAAAATACTGTCTTTGTGGTGTATACTAATCAAATAAAATCTTGGAAAAAGATTTTGAATCACTGTGCTAAATTCACTTCAGTCATGTCAGACTCTTTGTGACCCCATGGACCATAGCCTGCCAATGCTCCTCTGACCATAGCATTCTCCAGGCAAGAATACTGAAGTGGGTTGCCATGCACTTCTCCAGGGGATCTTCCAGACCCAGAGATCGAACTGGATTCGCTTAGGTCTCCTACACTGGCAGGCAGTTTCATTTACCACTAGTGCCACCTGGAAAGTCCTTTGAATCACTAAGCTAACATGAAAACATTACAAACTCTTGTTTGTGTGGAGTTGTACAAACTCTGTTTGCTGTAAGTATAGAATTACTAAGTCCAAAGAACACGTATTCTTTTACAGATTTTGATAAATATTGCCAAATAGTTCCTTAGAAATAATGTACTGGTCTCCTACATGGCCCCCCATGTTCCCTGCCTCCTAATATTCAGACCCTTGTATAGTCTTTTTTTTATGTTAAAAAAAAAAATAGGATTCTTATTTTATCTTGAAGCTGTGTCATATTTATTTCATTATATTATTTGGTCTTGTGTCAGTTCTGACTGTCTTAGAAATGTCCAAGACAATTCAACTGAAGTAAATATGACAGAAAAAGGGAAATACATTATTTTACATCCATCCTATAGTAAAGCACCAAGGCCAAAATTCAGCAACAAAGAGCACAATATTATCAATATGACAGAAACATGAGTAGTGGGACATGATATTACATATGTTTCAACCCCTTGTATCATGATGGTAGTTGCATGTTTTACATCCTCTAATAGAGGTAAAAACATTTTATGTAAGCTTACTTCTGAGATATACTTCCCTCTTATTGGAAAGAAGATGTATCTGGAACATGGGAAAACTTAATATATATCCAACGAAATGGGTAAAGAAGGGCCCAAAAGGTAGAGCCACGATGTGTCTAACATTCTGATAGACACAGCAGTTGTTGTTGTTCAGCAACTCAGTTGTGTTCAACTCTGCAACCCCATGGACTGCAGCACATCAGGCTTCCCTGTCCTTCACCATCTCCTGGAGATTGCTCAGACTCATGTCCATCGAGTCGGTGAGGCCATCCAACCGTCTTGTCCTCTGTCGTCCCCTTCTCCTCCTGATTGATTCCTTGGGTTAAGTTGCTGTAAGTGGAATTACTAAGTCCAAAGAACATGTATTCTTTTACAGATTTTGATAAATATTGCCAAATAGCTCCTTAGAAATAATGTACTGGTCTCCTACATGGCCCCCCATGTTCCCTGCCTCCTAATATTCAGACCCTTGTGTAGTCCCCTCCCACATTACGTAAGAATAAGTCTATGTGACCAAAGAAGATGGCAAAAGTGGTGTTAGGTTGTGCCTGAGATTAGATTACGGCAAACAGCACAGCTTCCATTTTGCTCTCCTCCTCTCTTGGATCACTAGCTAGTGCTTGAACAGGACTACAGAGAAACCCATGTGCCAAGGAGCTGAAGCCTCTGGACAAATGTAAGCGTGCTAAGAGGCAGATTTTCCAGGCTAGTCAACTGTCAAATGATTGCAACCTCCATTGACACCTTGACTAAAGCTTCATGAGAGAGACTCTGAGTTAGAACTACCCAATTAAACAATTCCCAGATTACCCCATAGAAGCTGGGAGATAATAAATGTTTGTTGTTTTAAATTACTATGTTTGGGGGTAATCTGTTAAACAGCAATAGATAATACCAATAAAATAAAATTTTTAAAAACCCAAATACCAAAAAAGGAATGAATATGCTTGTCTTCTCACATCTTTATCAACATAGGCTATTACTAGCTTTATGTCTCCTCATTAATTAATAGGGAAAAAAGACTTGGCATCACTAATTCAATGGGCATGAATTTGGGCAAATTCTCGGAGATGATGAAGGACAGAGAAGCCTGTTGTGCTGCGGTCCATGGGGTCAGAAAGTGTCAGCCATGACTTAGAGACTGAACAGTGCTATATCAAGTTTATTATATATTAAATGTATTATCTCATTCCCTAATATTTATATTGTGAAGATTTTTCCCTACTTGTCATATTTTCCTGTTCACTTTTGCTAATGCACTTTAGAAGATTTTAAATTTTTTATGTATTCAAAGCTATTAGTCTTTTCTTTTATGGATTCTATCCTTTTTTGCATGTACATAAAGATGTCTATTCATCACTACTCTGGGTTAGATGTTTTAATGCAAGCTTTCTTCTAGATGTTTTATGGCTCCATGTTTAAGTTGAAATCTTTAACTTGGCTGAAACTGGTGACTTGTATAAAAAAGCAATTTATCTTTTTGCAAATAAATAGAGAGATGGTTAACTTTAAAAATAATGAAAAGAAAAAAATTATCCAGGTAAGCACAACATAATAAAATGCAATACTGCATTTAAATTTGTTCATTATTATTATCACTAATAGTTACAAATGATCATTTAGCCAGAATTGATATGCTAGTATCTATCGATAGACCAGAATCTATGCCAAATACTCAAAATACAAGTATTAATAGCTGTATTTTGCAGACAAATACTCTTGGAAAGGTTAAATGACTTGCCTAAGGCCATACTGCAAAGAAGTACTGGAGCCAAGATTAGTTATTAATAGCCTAATGCAGTAATTCTGTCTTAATGAATGGCATGAGTTCCATTTATGATCCAGCTGCAGATAATTATCAAATTATCCTCCATTTCAGATTAACTAGATGGATATAGTTTTAGATATGACTAAATTTAGATCCAATCAAAATTTCTAAAACTCTAAAAGAATGAAATGCCTCATTAATAAACAGCTTTGCTCTATGAATCTAGAGTAACTATAATTTTTAAAAATAAGCAATTACTTTTGTGAATGGCACATTAAAAATTTTAGAATCAAAATTCACTTTTAAATAATTTGTTTTAAACACAAAAATATGAGTTATTTGCTAGCTATCAACAGAAGTGTAAAGTCAGAAAATAATAAGTTGCAAGAAAAGGAGGGGTAAAAAGGACAGCAGAGTAGAAGTGGGTGTTTTCGGTACCTGAATTGTGAGAGAGAAAAGCATACATTTAAACCTTGGTCTTACTTTTCCATCTGTTGGTGGGAAGGGCAATACTTATATGGGATAGAACTATGTTCCTAGGCAATAGGAGTCAGCTCTATTCAGATATGCATCAGAACAAGGTCCTCATATGCAT